GAAGGGCAGGGCCCATCTGGGCCCAGGATTTACAAACCTGGTACAGAGCCACAGACTGAAGACACAGCTATGAAGATGAGGCCTAGAAGATCTGTCCCCTCTCAGCACAGCTGGAGGCAGATCTGGGCCAGGGAGGATGGGGCCATGGTGGACATATCTCTGCCCTGTATGCTCTGTAGGTGGTGGCCCGGGTGCTATGGACACACGTATGTCCCCAAGTATCACATGGCTACCTGTTCAGACCCCAGAATCCAAAGGCTCAAAATCAAAGACATAAGCTCACAGTAAATTGTGTGCAAGGCTTTATGGGAGTCCAGCAGCTAACCCTTGTAACTTTAGCTCATAGACAAATCAAGCTTTGCAACCTTAAAACATCTAGCAGAGACAGCATAAATCTGTCTGACCAGTGGACTCAAGCAAAAATGTTTAAATTAAATTTTGAAGCCATTTTTATTTTACTTTACCAATAATTTTGAAACTAGTTTTATCTACCAAAGATTAATAAAGTCATGTGAACTTGGGCTGGGTTTGGTGGCTCATGTCTGGAATCCTAGCACTCTGGGAAGGTGAGGTGGGAAGATTGCTTGAGCTCAGGAATTCGAGACCAGGCTGAGCAAGAGCGAGACACATCTGTACTAAAAATAGAAAAATTAGCTGGGTGTGCAGTGGCACATGGCTGTAGTCCCGGCTACTCAGGAGGCTGAGGCAGAAGAATCACTTGAGCCCAGGAGTTTGAGGTTGCTGTAAGCTATGATAATGGCATTGCACTCTAGCTGGGGTGATAGAGCAAGACTCTGCCTATAAATAAATGAATGAATGAATGAATAAATAAACTGTTGAAAATCATTTGGGTTAGTTATTTAATTTATGATTATTCATTCATTTATAAGTCAATTTGGTACCATTTAGACAATACACAAACACATGTTTAGACATGCACATACGTGCAGAAACAACATATAACACATGTGCCAGTATCCAAAAGCCAAAAAAATTGGGAAGTTTAATGTAAGAGAGCAGAGCTTTAGACTTGAGGGAAACTTGCCCATGACTCTTAGGGCTCAGTGAGGAAGACAGGGGACCGGCAAGAGTGGTTAGTGGCCCCCTTTGTGTGTATGTGTTCTTCAGCAGGTCTCAGAGTTGTAGCTATGGGAATGCTTAGGAAGGAAAAAAAAAAGGAAAAAAAAAAAGAGGTCTCAGGGTCACTAAAGGTCCCCTCTAGAATGTGTTATGTGGTTTTGGAGATGGCAAAAGGAGGAGGTGCAGAAATGGAAGGAAATGGGAGAACAGGTCTTAGAAAAGCAAATTTGGGAGATTTTAAGCTTTTCAAAAGGCCAGTGAGGTTTTAGTTAATAGAAGTTCAAGGGGAAAAAAAAGGTCCAGTTGAC